CCCCCACCCCCACCCCCCGACACAGCAGGATCCACCTGCGGTAACACTGAGTTGCAGAGTGCAGGAGTTGGAGCTGTCTGGCCACTAACCTGTCGGATCTCCTCCAGCACCAGCGTGAATACCCAGAAGTAGAGGGTGACCTCAGACCCCGAAGGCCCCTGGGGAGGTGGCCTGAAGTCCACCAGCAGCACGTAGGTGAACAGGAACAGGAAGGCAAAGTACATGACCACATTCCCCAGGAACACTGTCACGGGAGCGCCCCAGAACTTCCGCCAGCGGCTGAGCAGGAAAGCAGCTTGTGGGCCTGGGTCACCCAGAGCCCTTGGTGCCTCCATCAGCTTCTCCACCCTGTGCAGGTGCAAAAGAGGTTGCCATGGTGAAGAGGTTTCTGGCCACAGTGCCGTCTGGGACCCTATCTCTGTCTAGCATGTGTCCAGCTTCTGGTCACTACCTGGTGGTCCTTCCCAACCCCCCTTTGTCCCTCCCACCCCTCTATCCTTCCCGCCCCTCCATCCTTTCCAGCCCCTTGGACTCTTACTGGCCACCCGGGCTACACAGGAGACTCTTCTCCACATCCAGGCTGTCTGGTTCCAGCAGGTCTTCCAGGCCCATCCTCTGTGGAACATCCTCACTGCAACACAAGGACTCTCAGGATCCCCAGGAAGCATGCCCCAAGAACCAACCACCCAAGAAGAGCTGGGCCCACTTAGAAGGCTCGCGTACTCAACTGGCCATCGGACTGTGGACAGTAGGGCTCATGGGATGCAGGACTCGGGGACAGTGAGAGACCCTGGCACCTGACGCTACCCTCACTGACCTACCTGAAGGTGATGAGGTTGGTGTAGATGAGGGCTGGGCAGGTGAAGGCGCCCAGCAGTCGCAGGATGGGTGTTCCTGTGGCCATGTCCCCCCACCAGATCTTGGTCAGGAATGCCTGGAATAAAGGCTCATGTGCTGGGCACTCATCACCACACCTTTACCCACACCAGCCCTCAGGGGATCCTCCCCAGACTCCACTCGAGGTAGACTTAGAGGCCCCTGAGCCCCAGTGGGAGGGAGGCTCTTTCCAGGAGCACACATTTAGCTGCTGTTGTGGCCATTTTTTTCTCCTTTTTGTGTGTGTGTGTGTGTGTGTGTCTCTGTGACATTCTCATGTAGCCCAGGCTAGGCTTGAACTCACTATGTAGCCAGGGATGAACTTGAACTTATGATCCTCCTGCCTCCAGATCTCCTAGTGACAGGATCACAGGCATGTGCCATTGCACCTGGCTTCTTTGGTTTATCAAACCCAGGGCTTCATACATGCTCGGCAAGCACGCTACCAACTGAGCTACATCCTCAGCCCTGTTGTGACCTTTCAATAATAGAACCATGGGTTTGGGGTCAGGGATGGCCAAACTGAGGATGTGATGCTGCCTCTGAGACCTAAGGTGGGAGCCCAGCCACTTTTCTGGTCCCTCCCCTAGGCAGCAGGGACAAGGGGAGGGGCTGCAGGCTAGGGCATCAGCTGATATACCCCACTGTCTCACGTAGGTGGCCTGGGCTCTGCCCACCCTCCTTACCCCATGGCTGTCTTTAGACCTGCTGGCTGCTCACCTGCACACCGTCATGGGCAAAGAAGGCCTTGGCGTCGGCTTCGGTGGCCAAATGAAGGCAAGTGGTCCTGCTCCAGCTGTGGTTCCGGCGCACCAGCAGTGCGAAGGCCCGGTCTTCACTGTTCTTGTAGCACTCAGAGAAGAGATCTGTCCACAGGGCCAGCTGCTGGAACGTGGCGCTGATGCCTGGTCCCTGGGTACCTATCCTCTGCAGCGTGTGCCCTGTGTCTACTTCTAGGGTCCAGTCAGGCTTCCCACACTACAGGGCCACTGAATGGCTGCCTGTCTCCATCCCCCAGGGCTCTGCCCAACCCCTGACTTTCTCTGGTCCTCTCCCTTCTTCCCCTCAGGGCTGTGAGAGCCTCTATTGCCACACATACCTTCCTCCCTGTAACAGGTCCCAATACATGCCACACACCGACATCTCTACCTTCTGCCCTTCCTCTTGGGACCTCCGGGTGGACCTCCACCCCAGGTAGAGCTATCCTGTGTTCTTCTTTCCACAGGAGGCCACTGGGGTCACCCTGGGTCCCACAGGTGCAAGAGGTGGCCTTCAGGGTAACAAGCGGAGGAGGCTCTTTATCTGCCTGTCACTCACCCAGAGCCAGCTGCTCAAACTTGGCTTCCCTCATGGTACGAGCCACCTCGGCCTCTGTCTCCAGGTGGGACATTTCCTTAATGATTTTGCAGGCAGCCAGGGCAGCGGCCACACCCTCTTGGCCCTAGGTGGTGGAGAGGCAAGGTCTTGGGGAGAGGGCAGTCCATCCATCCCAACTCTCCCCAGCTTGCCTCCCAGGAAGCCTGGGAGAGCCGTGTATTGGCCCTGGACTGTGGCGGCTGCTCACCATGGCCCAGAAGTAGGTGGCCATCTCATGTCGGTTCTGAAGCACAGCCCAGAGGAAGAGGTCCCTCCAGGGATCCTCACTCTTCCGGCTGAGGTCCAACAGCCATTTCTGGCCCCCTGGCCGCTTCGGAGGCCCCCTCTCCTGCCAAACAGGGCCTCAGCATCCTGGCTCTCCAACTGCTCCCTGGCCCTGCCTGGCCCCGCTCACCTCGGCCAGGCTCCACTCACCTCTGTCCTGCGCCCATCCTGGTAGAAGCCTCGGCTGGCATCGTGCAAGAAATCTTTGAGCACCCGGGAAACTTCTTGCAAAGAGAAAGCGGGTGTCCCAGTGGGGGGCTCTCGGGCCTGCTGGGCGCCCAGGCCGGCCAGAGTCAGCCGCCCCTCCTCATGCTTGCGCTGAAGCAGGTCGAAGAGCAGGCTCTTGGGGGACACAGAGCGGTAGAGCTGCTGCAGCCGCCCATAGGTCAGGAACTCAGCCATGTCAGCCCCGCTGTCCACAAAGAGGCGCACGAACTCAGGCTTGTCTCTCACTAAGGCATCTGTCATCACCTCTTCCAGGTCACAGGACTGGACTCACCCAGTGGAGGAAGAAATGAGGACAGTGAGTCTGAGGGAGAGAGGCTGGAGATCCTCTCCCACACACCTCAGCCTGCGCCACCCCCACCCTCACAGCTGGGACATGCATGGCGCAGGTAGAGCATCCTGACCCTGGGTACCTGCGACAGGAGGAACACGTTGGACTGGCGATCAGGGTGTCAGGACTCCCACACCCCAGCCTGGACTTTAGGGGTGCTCTGGCCTCATCTTGACCCCCCCCAGGGCAACGGGCTCAGCTGACACCCCCAGAACCCCTCTTTCCAAGGTCCCTGCTTGGTGCTGGCAAACCAGGCCTGGGCATGGACCACCTTCCACTCCACATCCCCACTGAAGATCTCGCTCTTGGCAATGTCCACGCGGTCCCAGGCCACTGCCAGCTTGAGCTCATCTAGGTAGTCCTGGGCCTCTTGGCTGTGACTCTTGCAAGCTGTGGGTGGAGTAGGCAGGACTGAGGACTCACAGAGCCCTGGGCAAGGGACTAGAACCCTGTGTGGGCTTGATGGGCGGTGGCAGCTGCCTCTGAGCAGCAGAAGAGGCACAAGATTAAGCCCTCAGTAACACCTAGGTCTCCCTGGAGAGGGTCTCGTGAGGCAGAAGCATGCCTTCAGCAACGGGGCACCTTGGCCCGCATCCCCCTACCCACTGGCAGGGAAGGGTGGTATGTCCCCATGCAGGCACATTCCCTCCATGGGGAGGGCTGGGGACTTTCACAGGACACCAGTCATTCCCAGACCCCAGAATTTCGCATGTTTGTCTCCATGACCTAGTCGAGTACCACACCGTGACTCCAGAGAAGCTGTCCTGCATGTGAGTCTCTGAGCCTCACTGTCTTGGCTAAACCTAGAGCTGCCCTTTTTGTAGCCCAGGCTGGTCTTGAACTTGCTATGTACCTGAAGAGGACCTTGAGTTCCCAATCTTCCTACCTGCAAGGTGTGCACAGCCACATCCCTTTTATGTGGCACTAGGATAGAACTCAGACCTGAATGCACGCTAGGCAAACACTCTACCAACTGAGTTCCATCCTCAGTCCCAGATGCCCTTCTTGGAGGGTCCCATCATTCGGGCATATCCCCACCCCTCCCATAGCACTGTCCCACCTAGCCTCCAGCCTGTGCACATCTATTCGAGTCAGCCTCGTAGCAGGAACAGGCCCAGGTGGTGATCCAACATTTTCATTACTGACTGAGTAGAGAGACCCTTAGTGTCCACCATAATGCCCACTCAGTGGGCATTAAGACTCAGCCTTAGGAAGGAAGGACCTCCTGCACAGGCTGCCAGGGGCACAGGTCTTGAGAACAAGGGGTGTGTGCCTCTTTTCTGGGATGGTAGAAAAGTTCTAGAACTGATGGTTACAGCACCCTGAGACTAGACCTCCGAGTTGAAGACTTGAGAAGTGACTGGTGATTTTGTGCGTCATCTTCCCTACCTCAGCAGGGCTGGCCGAGCATCCACTGTGGATGTGGCTGAGCCCTGCTTCCTCCGAGGATTGCCCCGCCCGGCCTACCTTTCACTAGTGCCTTAAGGATGACAGTGTCCAGGTCCTCGGAGCCCTCCTGCTCGAAGTCGTACACAGTGAGCAGGTGGGGGTGTGCGGCAATGTTCTGCAGCTAAGACACCAGGAAGAGGCCCTGAGGGATGGCCATGGAGTCTGGCAGGCTCCTCAGATGGGCCACTGTGTGCCCACTACCCCACTAGCCCAGTTCAGAACCACTGACAACCTGAGGGGCTGGCTGCCTACCCTCTCCTCTCCATGAGGACCTGGATAAGGTCCCAGTATCACCAGAAAGGGCATTGTCTAGGCCCTAGGACTTTCCAGGAGGGGAGCCCTCCCCAGGGGAGGCTGGGAGGAAAGAGGTGGAGGTTGACTGCAGCACCCCCCCCCAAAACCCCCCTCCACAGCACTCACTAGCTCCGTCCAGTGCACAATGGCTTCCCAGGAGAAACTCTCGCCAGGGAACTTCTCTCTGAACTGCTTCTCAGTCACCTGAGGCACCAGGAGATGCGGCTGGTTCACCAGGGCAGCAAGCACATCAGCAATGCCCCCGGAGCCTGCCAGGATCAGCCATGGGGCAGCCTGTTCCACGGCCCTGGAGATCCTCTGAGGGCATGGAGGGAGGGAAGGCAGAGTAGCCTGAGTCAGCCCAGGTAACACCTAGATGCATGCCCAGGAGGTGCCCTAGTCTTCCCTACCATCCCAGGGGTATCCTGGGGTCCAACCACATCCTCCTGGGCAGCCAGGGGCTCCAACCAAGTCCCTCCTCTCCCCTGCCCTTACCTCCAGCGTGCTGGGGTCACCATTGACCAGTAGGCAGAGAACCGGGATCTGGATGCTGCTGGTGCCTGTGGGCAGAGCAGCCATGAGGTTGTTTGGTGCACCACCCCAACCTCAGGCCATCCAGCTGTCATGTCTCAGGCACGGTCTGGCAAAGGGTCTTCCCTCCTTCCCTCCCTCCCTCCCTCCCTCTTCCCTCCCTCCTTCCCTTCCTTCCTTCCTTCTTCCTTTTGTGAGACAGGGTCACAGGGATGTAGTCCTGGCTGGGCTTAACTCAAAATGTAGTTGAGGATGACCTTGAATTTCTGGTCCTCCTGTCTCTGTCTCCCAAGTGCTGGGATTACATGCATGCAGGTTTATTCTGTGCAGAGGCTGGAATGCAGTGCCCTGTGTATGCTAGGCAAGCACTCCACCATCTGAGCTCCATCCCCACCCCCCAAAGCCTTTTTCAAATAAAGGGTGAATCTAGACTGTGTGTCAAACCCCTGGGCCGTAGGGACCGAGACTCCAGCCATGTCTGTACTGTGTGGCTAGAGTCAGCATGTGGCAACTTAGAGCACAAAATGGCTTAACTAAAATGAAGCCACCAGCTCCACAGCAGCACCTGCCATGTCCAAGGGCACCCACACTGTGCCTAGGAATCGCTGCAGCACGTCGGCTTGTCTGTTGTCCAGGAGAAACACTGGACTCTCAGAGGGAAGGAGACTGGGAACAGCCTGGACCTCCTTGGCAGGGTCAGAAACTGGTAGATTTTCATTGTTAAAATGTGCTGGCCTTGCCGAAGAATTGCATTTCTTGTTGATATCTTGTGTTATTCATACATATTCTAAGCGATGATGTATTCGTTTATAAATGTTATCTTGCCCACTGTTAATTTTCTAGTCAGTCTTTCCCCGCCCTTCAGGCCACAGACGCACCTATCCCTCGGGCAACGTTGCCCTCTGGTGGCAGTGAAGGGAACTACGCTTCTTGGAAGCCCACACTTTCTCTAACCTCAGTGCTCACAGCCAGAGGCTGCAGCCAGAGGAACGCCGGTTAAAACAGCTGCAACTGCCCTACTGTCTGGCCGGATGGTGGCTGTCCAGCTAGGGCCACTCTGTCCATCCGCGCCCCTGTCCCACCCCCACCCCGACAGCTACCCTTCCCAGGCCTTGCATAGCTAGGTGCTCAGACTTGCGGGGGGGGGGCCCTCCCCTCCCTCCTTAAGGTCCCTCCCTGCTGGCCCATGCCAGGTTTACACGTCCACATCCCTGAGGTGCTGCCCTGGGCAGCTGGAGCGAGCCTCACCCCCATAGCCTGTTCTCTGCTGGGAGATGTGTTTCTCCAGCCTCAGCCGCAGCTCTGCCAGCTCATCTCCGCTCTCGAGGGCACCAGGCTCCACCAGAATGAAGTGGGACAGATTGCTGTCCAGGGGGCAGAGGGGCCCCGGGATGCTGCTGTTGTCTTCGGGGTACCGGACCAGGGTGTCCTCCTGTCCCGTAGGCATGGGGGGACATGACCAGGCAGAGCCTCGGGAGCAATGAGGTTGGGCCTCTCTGTGCTGTGGTACCCCACTGGGGCCCTGGGCAAGGCTTCAGCGAGGCCTTTGAATCCCCACCCCTCAGGCGGAGGGGGGCTGGGCTGCTGGGCCCAGGGGCCTCCCTGGACTGATTGAACCATGGAAACAGCTGGGGCCAGGGCTGCGTAAGCTCCACCTTCCTGATTCCTCTGGGCTGGAGTCCAGACTTCACCTCAGTGGGGCCTCCTGGGCTTCTAATTGGCTATGCCTTATACAGTCCCCAGGGTGGGGCATGGGAATGAAGACCAGAGAATAGAAGCCACCTGGCCGGAGCTGCCAGGGCTTGAGGGCAGAGGTCCAGCCAGGCAGGGTCCCTAGCGCCATCAGCCTGGCTCTCCACGTGGTATGCCCCAGGTTGTTGCCCTGATTCCTGCACAGTGCTGCCACCTGCTGGCCTGTGCTGGGCTCCGGGAACCCATGCCCTCCCACTGCAGCTGACCCCTCCCTGTGAGCCTCCCCTCCCAACCTCCATACCTCTATCACTCCCAGGGAGTCCCTAGGGGCAACACAAACTCCCAACTTGTCCATAGCCTCCTTCACCCCCTCAAGCCCAAAGAGCCCTGGCAGCCATGGTCTCAGGAGCCTGTCACTCACCTGGATACCAACCAGAAGCTGGTGGTGAAGGATGCGGTCCAGAGAGGCCATACCGATGGCCACTACGCGGATCTTGGTGGACGTGCTGGCCAGCGAGTGGTCGCGTACAGCCTGCCCAACGTGGCGGGCGAGGCCAACTCGGAGGGCGCTGGTCAGGATCCAGGCGCCTATGGGGGTGGGAGAGGGGAGAGGCAGAGCTCACTGGGTTATATGAAGTCTTTTCCATCTCCAGTCTCCAATCTCATCCATAGTGAGTGACCTGGGGACCAGGTGATGGAGAATGCTCCCCCCACCCCCCGTAGTATAGGCTATCCCCGAACTTGCCTCAGCCTCCCACATACGAGGAACATAGGCACGCACCATCACAGCCAGGCATAGGGGAGTGCTTTGAGGCTCTGGTGGGGACACTGAGGCCCAGGGAGGACTGTGTGTGGTGGGTAGTGGTAGTGGCCATCCCAGATTTTGTGTGGCAGGTCCCAGGTGCTGTCCTGTTCCCTATGCTGGGTAGGGTCTGGATCACAAAGCTCTCACATATGACTGCAAACCTTTATCACAATCACTTCTGTAGTGAAGGACTCAGAACCTCCAATCCTGGTGTGTGTGTGTGTGTGTGTGTGTGTGTGTGTGGTGTGTGTGTGTGTGTAGGTGTGCCTATGTGGGGGGTAGTGCTGGTGTGTGGGAGGGCCAGAGGTCAACCTCATCTGTCATTCTTCAGATGCTATCCACCTCGTTTTTATGAGACAGGGTTTCTCACTGAGCCTGGAGCTCACTGATGTGGCCAGACAGACTGGCCAGTGAGCTCTAGGGATCTTCCTGTCTCTGTTTTCCCTAGTCCTGAAATTTCAAGTACACGCCTCCATGCCCAACTTCTCATGTGGGTGCTGGGGACTGAACTCAGGTCTTTACCCAATGAGCTATCTCCCCTGTGCTGGTTAGTTTTATTTATTTGTTCTTTTAAGAATTATATGTGTATGTGTCTGTGTGTCTGTGTGTAGGTATGTACACATGACTGCAGGTACGGCAAGAGGAGGTCAGAAGCATCAGATCCCCCTGGAGCTGGAGTTACAGACAGTTGTAGGCCACCCAACATGAGTGCTAAGAACTAACTCAGGTCTTCGACAAGAGCAGTGCCTATTCTTAAGAACTGAGCCCTCCCTCCAGCTCCTGTGATGGTCAGTTTGGACTGTCAACTTGACACAATGTGGAATCACCTGGAAGAGAATCTTAATGAGTTATCTCAGTCACTGGGCATCCCCGTGGGGTTGTCATGATGGTTAATTGAGGTAGCCCGTTATGGGCAGCACTATTCCCTAGCACGGGGAGCAGAACAGTGTAAGAGAGGAGACAATGTGAGAGATAGACAATGCCTAACTAGTTTTAGAAAACCAGAGAGAACCATATTAGGCCAACAACCTACTGACAAATTATACATAGCAGATCAAGAAATATATGTCTAGGTAAGGTTTTTCTGAGAACAATTGGTCTTTGCCCAAGATCTGCATGACACACAGTAATTAAAAGTACCAGACTGGTGGAACTAGCCTTCTTTGATGTTTAACAGACATACTTTGAAGCCTATACTAATTAGGTCAGAGGGACATAAAGGACAGTTTTTGCTCCTTGCCCTCCTAGGTCAACTAGTTCCAGGGGACTATGGGAATCTCCCAAAATGTCCTGTAACTGTGGTGGGTCACCTGTCCTCTTCATCAAGGAGGCTGAGGAGACCCCACCAGATAGACTTGAACCAGTGTCCAGTCTACAAAGAGGAGGGTCAACACAGAGTAATCACTTCCTCAATGCTTCCAAGTGAAGCCAACCATGGTCGATAAGGACCTTTGACTTATCTCCATATAGGTGGAACTGCTAAAAGAAAGGAGTCAGGGGCTCCTCCCAAGCCCATGCGACCCCTGAGGAACAGATCCTCAAACAATCGTAAGAGTAAATATAAATTGGTTTATCTGGGCCAACTGTATGGCCTTAAACACCCAAAAGGAAAATATGACCAAAGATTAAAGGGGCCAATATAATTTTTTAAGAGTCCGTATGTGTAGCTAAAGTCTATATAACAAGAAACAATGCCAGACAGGAGGTACTTTCCTTTGAGTTGTTGGCCAGGGTGGTCCAACAGACTCCCAGACAGTAACCCAACGTAGAATTTGGAAAATAAACAGCAGACCACAGTGGTATAGTATAACCTTTAGAAAGACCAAGAAGGGTAATATTAGGTAATGAAGAAGGACAGACTACAGGCAGAAGTACACATGAAGGTGAAAGAGATGAAGTTCATTGTACTAGTCAACTCTGTCATAGTGTGTGGGGGGGCTAAGTCCATCAAACTGTAATTGATACTGAAAGTAGAGATGTGCTCTTGCTCTGGAGTGTGTTACTGAATATGTTAAAGCTGTAGTGAAATGCTTCTTCTGATCATGTAGTTATTAATTTTTTTTAATTTTACTTCATGTTAAATAGTAGAGGTGATAAACATTACCAGTGGAATCTACCTAATGACTTTATATCCATACTCGGGTACTAAGGATCCGAGTGTATCCGACTGTGACTAGTAATCATCAGATACATAGAGATCAAAAACACGTGCAAACATCTAAGTGTCCATTAAATATGATTTTTTTCTGTATTAACTTGTGTATTTTAAAATGAAGTAGAGACCTTCTTTAAAAGTTAAAAACATTCAATTTTATGTCTTACAGGGTTTATACTGAGTTCAATATTATATAACTGTATTAATTCAACCGTGAACCTAAACATTTACAGCCACTTTTGAAAGAGATGTGTCCTTGCTCTGGAGTGTGTTACTGAAAATGTTAAAGCTGTAATGAAATGCTTCTTCTAATCATGTGGTTATTAAATTAAAAAAATTCTTTTTTCAGTCCATAAATTGCATAACACCTACAACTAGCCAGCTAGATGGCTCCCAAGGCCGGCAGTGGGGGGTGCACACATCATGTGGTTATTAAATTAAAAAAATTCTTTTTTCAGTCCATAAATTGCATAACATCTACAACTAGCCAGCTAGATGGCTCCCAAGGCCGGCAGTGGGGGGTGCACATCCTGGGCGTTCCTTGGCGCATTGACATCAGCAAGAGGCAGGAGTCCTTCTCTCAAAGATTGCGGCATGGCCTCTCCGAGTGGAATGGGCAGCTCTCAGAGAGAACCCGCCTCGATCTACCTCAGGCTGGAACCTAGCTGCGGGACAGTCCTCAGGTTCATCTGTACCACATCCCCGTGACCTGCCCCCGCGATGCCCTTGGGCAATACCAAGGATGGCCAGGCAGGGGAAATGTCATCAAGGAATGATCTCCCAGGGTCAGTGGACAGACCCCGACCAGGGCGAGACGTACCTGTGCTCTGAGCCGCCTTCACCAGCCCTTGGCGCAGGATATCACGGAGCCAGGACTTCATAGCAAAAGGCCGCTCCTCACCCACCAGCGACACCACCAGGTTAGGGGCTGGCAGGTGCCACTCAGTGAGCAGGACGTTAAAGATCACGGAGGGGGCCGCACCGCTTGGCACCTTCACGAACTGCAGGGCAGGCCATTAGGTTCAGGGCAGGGGTGCAGGTGGACTGCACTGGGTTGGGGGTTGGGGGTTCTGGGCACAGGATGGATGCTGGACCGGAAGAAGTGCTGGGGGTGGTTTCTAAACACGGAGGAGGAGACTGGGCACCTGGGTCAGGGCCGGCCACAAGAGGACAGGAGACCCCTCAAGGCCCTCTTGGTGCAGGGTTTCTGCAGATGCATCCTCCTTTATGAGTGGGGAGCTGGGCAGGGGTCCTGGGCCTTGGGTTCCCATCACTACTAGGGTGAGGAGCAGCTCCTAAAGTTTGCCCATCTAGGCAGATGAACCCAGCCCATAAGGAAGGAATGGCCCTAGGATGAGCAAACGCCAAGGGCGGGCTTCAAGGAGGACCTGAAACCGAGGTTCTGTGCATGGTGGCGGTCACCCTGGTATGTGCTGTCCCACCTTGCCTCTCATCTTCCCGGATCCTCCAAAGTCAACCTCACCCCGGCACAGGCTTGGTGTCCCCGCATCCCCAGCCTCTGGGGGGCTTCCAGGACAGGAGCTCTGGGTGGTCTGCATGGTGGCTTCTCTGTGGGACATTGGGACCAAGAAGACGGATCAGCCACCTCTCCCCCCTTCACAAGGAAACCCATCCTAGTTGATACCACCCACCTGCTGGCCCTAACCACCCAGCATGGCTCCACCACCTCCCTCAGAGTGGCTGTGGCTGGGGTCAGGCTCATTCCCAGCTGGGGATGGGGGCCACATCCAGCCTGTCTGCCTGGCTCTGCTGCCCACATTCACCCAACTCCAGGCATCAGGGCTCCACCACACCTGTCAGTTTCCCAGAGGCTCTTTCAGGGGTGTCTTGGAGACCCAAAGACCTAGTGGAGAATTCAGTTTTCCAGCCATACAGCCCAAGAGAACCATACCCTAAACTTCCCCAGACCAGGGCTGAGGACCCCTGGTTTGCTCCTGGATGGGCAGGTGAGAAGGCAGGTAACCCCGGAGGACAGAAGGGAGGAGGACGGGTTTCCCCTTGTCCTAGCTGGGCCTGAAGTCCAGGGAAGAGTCTGGAATGGGGAGACTAGGGAGAGGCTGCTAGGGCAGGGAGGCCTGGGGAGGGTACGCCCAGGGAGGGGAGTCCAGAAAGGGAAGTCCATACAAGGGAAGGCAGGGAGGGGTGCCAGGTGAAGAGGGAAGGAGGGGCCCTTGGCCAGGGTCTCTGGTCTCAGAAGCACAGCCAGGACTCCACCAGCCTGTTCTCCCCCCAAGTTCCAACCTTAGCAAACAGAAGGCAAAGAAACTTCCTGTGACATCCCTTACCCTGGACATCTGCACACATAGGGAGCCCGGGGTGGAGGTGGGGGTGGGGAGGGGACAGGATAGTATAAGGCACAGGGGGGCCTTGAATCCAGCCTTCTGCAGCTACCCTGCACAGGGCTGAGGCCAGGGTCTTCATACACTTCTGGAGCTGTGAGCCGTGCTTTGGAATGTGTCCTTCAAAAAGCTACACTTGCCCTGACCCCTTCTGCTGTGCACATGGCCTTCTTTGGAAGTGGGGTCTTGGTAGCTATGAATACCCATGATGTTCACCCATGATGAACATTCCACAGACAACTGGCTGATTCGAACTTCCTGGTTTTGGAAGTTGAAATGTTGCAAACTCAGAGTCCGATTATCTTGAGTTACCTTTAGCTTCCTCAATGACCATCCGTCGCTCACCTCTGCTGTCTGTCCTGACACCCACCTACCAGTCCAAAACCTTTGGAGTGTATTCTTCAGCAGACTCCAGGCTTCCACCAACCCAAAAGCTAAGAATGAGATCTGGGCATCTGAGGCCTGTAGCAGAGATCTCCCACTTGACTGCAACCTACCTGCCTGGTTTTCCCACTAATGCATTTGGTCAATGCCTTGGCTTGTGACTGTCATTTGTTCTGTGACTAAAACGGTTCGTGTCATGGCTTCTACAGTGGAACATGCCATTTGTGGTCTCCTGGGTCATGACCGTTCATATTTGGCTTAGCAAGGGAGAGATGGAGGTGTAGATACTGCAGGGAGGCTGTGTGGGGTACAGAGAGAAGGGGTTGTCAGCTCAAGACACGGCAGAGCCAGGGACACAGAGCCCCAGAGGCAGAGGAGGAGGAAGGACACTCCCTGCAGCCTGTATGTCTGGGGCAGAGCACATAAGCCTTCCAGGGCCTGCTCTGGGTATTGGAGGAGCATGTTTCTGAGGCCTCCATCACTTGGACATCACCTTGGGCCTCCTTGGTCTAAAAGTGGCTTGTCGCCCTGAGTATGACCCAGTCACCATGGGTCACTGTGTAGCCACTGATCCAGAGGGGCAGCATGACTGTGTGGCCACAGGCAGGTTCTCTCTCTTATACCTTATTCCTAGAGCCAAACCCAGCTCCCTGGTGCCCTGGGTCCCCTGCAGTCTGTCCTGCTCCGGTACAGAGTGAGGAGGGGATGTAAATTCTCCCTGCTCCACCCCCAGAAGGAGTTCACATCCAGGGCCTGCAGAGGACAGGATTTTGAATACAGCCCTGCAGTCACAGAGGCAAACAGCCTCATGGTTTTCCTATGGAAGCTGGCTAAGGGCACAGGGTTGCTGGTGTGTTTGCCCCATGACCGCCAGAACAAGGACCACAAGCCAGGAGGCCTGACCCAGCCCAGGTGGACTCCCACAGTGTAGGGGACAGGGATCCAAAATCCAGGCATAGCCACACTGTGGCTTCTCCCCAGGGCTCTGGAGACCGTCCTCCCAGCTCCTGGGGGCTCCAGACATCTCTTGGTTTGTAGCCACATAGCCCCTGACCCTGCCTCCATGGTCACAGAACTGTCCTGTGCTGGTCTGTGTCTATCCTCCCTTCTTCCTGTAAGGACCCCCATCACTAGGCAAGGGCCCCCATCTTTCCCCGATGTCATCTACAAAGACCTTGTTTCCAAACAAAGCTACTGTGTAAGGGCCCACATGGGCACTATCCCACTCATGGTGGACCCCACTTTGGGGGACAGAGTGTCCCTAGCCACATCTGGACACATGCTCTGCAGCAAGGGAGGTGTACGAGCTATAAGTGTACCCTGGCTTGGGGTGTGGGAGCTGGGGTGCCTGCTCCTCAGTCCTCAGCCCTGTCTTCTCCCCCACTTAGTCCTTCGTGGGAAGGCAGTGGACAGCCTAGTTTTGGACTGGGGAGGGATCCTCTTGGGCTCCCAGAGTCCCTGGATGTCTTCCCTAATGCCCAGCACCCAGTGAGTGTCTTTCAGGCTGGGGCTTGGCAGTTCCTCTCCCCATCCCCACCACAGGCAGCGAGGTGGACCGACAGCCCAGGTTACCTTGCCTTGCTTCAGGACGTGGCCCGGACCCCCGACTGCCACAGGAGGCAATGCAGTGCTCAGTGCTGGGGAGCTGCCAAGCCTCACTCCCCGCTCGGCTGGGACCAAGGGGCATTTGGGTGGGTGCCAAGTACCAGGCAAATGTGACCACAAGGAGGGGCATGCAAATGGGCTGAGGATTTGCATGCACAGGTGTCCAAGTCTTTAACACTCTCCTTCCTAGGGGGCATCGGCAGGGTTCCAACATGAACCTAGCCATTCTTCTATCCCAGAACTCTGAGAGGCAAAACCAGATGCTGGGTCCCTGGGCAGTGGAGACGCTGGGGCTCTTACTAGCTGCGGAGTCATAGAAATAGATGGAAACAAATGCACCCTTCTCCCCTATGCCCCAACATGGAAGGACCCAGGATGGTGTTCCAGCCCCATTTGTCTGTGCCCTGACTCCTCAGGCCAGCCACAGTGAGATGTAGGAGAACCGTCATAGCAAGGAGTACACGCAGCAGGCATGAAGTAACATGTTGCCCTCATGTCCCCAGGGAGGACGCCTGGCATCTCTGACAGGCTGTGGACATGGACAGAGCCACATTGGGATGGCTTTGGCCTTCTTTCCCTCTCCCTTCACCCAGCCTCTGAGCACCCCGACTTTCCAGGCTGCCCTGGCGGATGCTCTTCTCATGTCTGAGGCTCACAGTGTAGGTAGCCCTCCGCTCAAACCCCACCCCAAACACCAGGTGGTCCCTTTCTTCATCTACCTTCAACACCTGACCCCCCCATCACAGAAAGGAGGGGCTCCCTCCCAGATAGAGATGAGGAAACGGGCACGGGGCAGGAACGTGCCTGGAGCCTGGATCCCACCTGCCCCCCGAAGAGGAGGTGGATGCTTCCCAGGAGCCCTGCTCCCTACTCAGGGGCTGGCCCTGGTGAAGGACTTACCGCCGGTTCCACCCAGAACCCTGGCGTGTGGCTGCTGGTGTCGACTGATGGAGCCACCCACCCTCCACAGGCCGTGTCCTCCCCCTCGCTCCCCCTCCACACCACACCTGGCACCTGACAGCCAATGCTGCCCAGTCTGGGCATGAGCGAGCGCAGGGCACCTCCCAGTCACTAAGTACCAGACTGGTTCCCATGATTCGAGGTCACATCCAGGCTGGCTGGGAAGCTGTGCCCACTGCAGAGAGGGGATGGGCGACGTGTGTGGTCTGTCTTTCCCTCTGTGGGCTCAGCCTGGTGGGGGATGGGGCCCGGGTGACCCTACTCTGACATGAGGTTAGATGAAGCTCCCTCTTCAGGTCTCACCAAGCCTCAGTTTCTCCAGTTGGGAAAACTGGGATTGCCCCAAGGCCATGTGACCTGTGCCATGCAAGGGTGTCCGGCAAGCTGTCCTAGGGAGGACAGGCCAACACATGAAGTACTCCCCCAGGTCTCAGGAGGCCTGGAGGTGACAGCCCTGACTTGTGGTGTGCCACTCTCCTGGAGTCTGAGGTGTGGGTGAGGAGGGGGTGCTGTGTAGTCACCAGTGTGGTGGTCAGTGCCACAGGGGCTGTGTGACAACCGTCCCCGTGTCAGGGCTCCCCATGGGCACTTTGTGGTGAGCTGCGCCTTCAGTGAGCACCACTGGCAGTAGGGAATGCTTGACAGTACTGCCTTTCCCCCAGGGTCCAAGAACCCTGCCCTGCGTGGGTGGTGGACACAGGACCCATCATCAGCCACCAGAGGGTATCAGGACCACAGGCAGAGGCAGACCTTGGAGTTGGTAGCAGCTAGGCCTCGTCAAGAACAGAGGTCAGCTGGTTTTGCCCTGAGCAGCAAGGCCACAGTTACATGCCCAGCAGCCTCCGTAGGTTGGGCTGGCATGGCTCCTGGTCCCTAGGATGACTGGGTCTTTACCTTGACAGGAAATAGGTCCGTTTGAGGTCCTTCTGTAATTATAGGCTGGGCTGGGAGCAAAGGCCCAAGAATTAGCTCTAGACATATGGATTCTGAGGGGCAGGGACCACAGCCCCTCAAGGATGGAGACCCAGAAGGTCTGGTTCTGAGAGGAGCCAACCTTGAAGGCTTCGGCAGAAGGATCAGACCTCAGCTTTGGGCAAGGCCTGAGTCCACTGGACCCTGGAGGTCCAGCTTGCTCGCCCACCAGCCCAGGGTCTGGCCGTGCTGCGGTTCTTGTGGGGATAGGAGGGGTCCTTCCCCAACCCCACCTCCACCCTGGTGCTGTCCTGCCACCTCTGTCTTCTGGACTCCTG